TGCACCACCAATACCCAACCCACAAATTATTTTGTTGTTGTTGTTGCACTTGGTTGTAGCTTTAAGTTTTGGGGGTAGGGAGGTGAGGCCGGATGAGCCACATAGCCCAGGCTGGCTTCACAGTCTCTGTGTTCCTGCCTCAGCCATACGAGTGCTCAGATGGTAGGCAGGCACCGCCGTACGATGAATTCTTATTTTCATTTGCTGCAGCTGGAAGCTGGTGGCCAAGGAGAGGGAAGGCTCGCTCTTCCTTTGGGGTTGCCTCAAAGGTTGCAAGTCCTTAGTACTGCAGAGCTTCCTATGTGATACAGCTGAGCTCACCTATGGTAGGAACCTTCAGTAAGTACGCTGTCCAGTCTGGACCAGCAGGACACAGAGAAAAGCAACTGTCAAGCTTTGCCAAGACAGGGTAGGACAGTCCTTCAGATTTTCCTGCTTCTTAAAATGGTGTGTCAGCCAAAGTTGGATGCCCCAGTGTCATAGAGAAACCTCGGGTGACTGTCCAGGCAGCCACCTGTTTCTGTCATTTCTTGCACCTTTCGGAAGTCCCTTGCTTGCACTTCCTGTTATTTTCCTTCTCAGGTCTTTGATGGGGTTGAAGACTAGACAGTCACAGTTACCATCCTCCCAAATCTTAGCTAAGGGCCTATTAGGTACAAAACTTAGATTGTTCAGGAAAGGACAGCTATTGGAGTAATCTCTTTAAAAATTGCCTATTACCTACGGTCTGGACATCTAAGATGCATTTCTTACTCGATAATTTTCTCGCTGTGCATAGTTTTTAATTATAGGATTAGAACCTTCATTTTTATTTTAGACTAAAAGTGGGAAATGTTGTGGGGATTTGGTCTGATGGCCAACTGGATGGGGGAAGCTTGGCCCAATGGGCGTGGTCTTTTTTCTGGAGATATGTGACCCAATAAAGGGGGCGGGCAGATTTGATTTATTCCTAAAAGAGATAAGGCAGGCCCAGAGAAGGTCACCAAGCCATGGCTTCAGCAAGCCCTCCCCAGTCCAAGACAGGAAGGGATACCTGACCTCAACCTTATTGGATCACATATCTCCAGAGAGGACCACACCCATTGGGCCAAGCCACCCCAGCAGTTGGCTGTTGGATCAAATCCCCACAACACTCACCTCCTTGCTTTTCCAGCCACCAACCCCTGCTTCCCTCCTCTTCACCCGGCCCCCCATGAGCCACGAGTAAGTGTTTTCTCAGTTCTTGATTGGAGATGATCCCCAGGGCTCCGCCATGTGGAAGGGTTAGAACCCAAATGGAGTTTTCTGCTGCGTCTCCTTCGTCTGTGACAGGCGACAATGACCGCGCCACTGATGGCATTGCAGAGTCGCTATACCATAGAGGTGGCATAAGGTGAGCCAGCTGGCCGGCACTTGGTGACTGTCCTTAAAATGAAATGGAAGTGATATGTGGAAGTGAGATGGACCTGCTGACACAGGCCATGATTCCCGTTGGGTGGATGGACAGTTGTGGAAATGTCTTCTCCTTGGGTACTGTACAAAACCTAATCGGCACCAATTAGCAAGGCAGGGAAGGGAGAACAGAGAAATGAAGTGTGAACTGAACTCTTGGTCTCTGCTACATTAGTCCGTTCTTGCAAAACGAAACAAAAAACAAAACCAGTACATTCACGTATGCAGTACTCAAAATGTTCCACTAGGGGCTGTAGAGATGTCTCCATGGTTAAGAGCACTGGCTGTTCTTCCAGAGGACCAGGGTTCAATTCCCAGCACCCACATGGAAGCTCACCACTGTCTGTGACTCCAGTTCCAGAGCATCTGGCACCCTTATGTTTGGCCCCAGCCCCATGGGGTCTCTGCGAGTTGCTGGTCAAGCCTACAAGTGCTTCCTGTTTTCCAGTCCAAGTGCATCTTGTTTTCTAGTCCTGGCTTCCTGCCCCGGCCTTGACCCTCTGACATCGACATCTAGCAGGAGGAAAACATGCTCTCTACCTCCTGGGGTTTTCCCACTATGCTGTAAGCCTGTATATAAAGCTGCTCACTCCTGCAAGAGAGACCTCTCAGCAGTTGCAATAAAGACACACACATATTCTCTCTCTCTCTCTCTCTCTCTCTCTCTCTCTCTCTCTCTCTCTCTCCCTCTCCCTCTCCCTCTCCCTCTCCCTCTCCCTCTCCCCCTCCCCCTTCTCCTCCCCCTCCCCTCCCCCTCCCCTCCCCCTCCCCCTCCCCCTCTCCCTCTCTTGGCAATAAAGGCAGCACATGCATTCTCTTAGTACAAACAGCTGGATGCCTGGTGTTTCTTTTCCTGATACCTTGGAATTCCTTGTGGCACGGGCGCCGCACCCTTACACAGACACACATGCAGACAGAACACCAATGCCCATAAAGAAGTTCCGCTGGAACCATGCCAGGATGCCTACCATCAAAACACTGTGCTGGCTAGATTTATGTCAGCTCGACACAATCGATAGTCATAGGAAACAGGAGGAAACCTCGATTGAGAAAATACCTCCATTAGATTTGGCTGTAAGCTGGGCGGTGGTGGTGTTCACCTTTAACCCCAGCACTCGGGAGCAGAGGCAGGAGGATCTCTGTGACTTTGAGGCCAGTCTGGTCTACCGAGTGAGTTCCAGGACAGCCAGAGCTTTTATATAGAGGAACCCTGTCTCAAAAACAAAACAAAAAAGATCGGGCTGTGGGCAAGCCTGTAGAGCTAATTAGAGATTGATGGGGAGGACCCAGCCCACTGTGTTTGATGATATCCCTGCACTTACGGTCCTGGGCACTGTAAGAAAACAGGTTGAGTAAGCCAGTAAGCAGAGCTACTCCGTGGCCTCTGCATCAGCTCCTCCTCCAGGATCCTGCCCTGTTTGAGTTCCGGTCCTGACTTCCTTCAGTGATGGACTATGGTGTGGAAATGTGAGATGAGTAAAGCCTTCCTCCCCAGCTTGCCTTTGGTCATGGTGTTTCATCGCAGCAATGGTGACCCTGAATAAGACAGCAACTCGTTTTGGGAAGGACGGAGGATGGCTTACAAAGATGTGTGAGACACCACGATAGAAAGCTAAGCACAAGTTAATTATAAGCGAGGGAGAATAACAACAAAGAAATAGACCGAGAGCTGTAATGGTTGAGTTAAAAGATAAAGATGTTTCATGAAACCCTGCCTGCCACCAAGTGCTACATGACTTGGTGTGTATAGTAAACACAGATCCTTTGTAAGTGACCAACAACCTGAGAGAGCTATTATCAGACTCATAATTCATAGTGTCTGTTTAATATGCGCCAGCTTCTTACAAGATACCTAATTCTTTCTGCTGCCAAGATGATGCCAGACATCCAACTTAACAACTCCTCAAGGAAGTTGGTGATGACCTATCTGTACAAGAAGTGAAGAACTGGATTCCAAGCCAGTTCTGGCAACTTCCAAAGTCCAAACTTTTGTGAGAAAGAAATGTCACTGTCTGGGATCTGTGTTGGTTTCCTCCATTTATTCCCCATCTGAGACAAGTCCTGTTTCAGGGGAAAGGGGGAAGAGCAGAAGCAGAAGCCGCGTGACCACAGAGCATGGCCAAGACAGGAGTGACAGAGTTCTAGGAAACAACAAATATTAGGTTCTTTTCTCAATTATAGGAAAGGCCCCACCTGACCTAGGCACAGGCTTGGCTGTGCAAGGCATACATTTTACCTTTCAGTGCCATGCCTAGCTCAGGGCAAATAAAAAACATTTGTAGTAAATACAAGCTGCATCACAGCTGGTGCTGTGCAGTGAAGAGCCACACACGGAGACCACCTGAGACTCCAGCTGGTTTAAGGTGGTGCGCTCTGGACATCACCGGCCAAAGCAGATAATCTGTAATACCACTTGTAACCACCATGGGGGGGCAGATAATTTAGTCTTTCCCCTGGCCCCCAGTTCCTCCTCTGTAAAATGGGGACTATGGGATAACAGCTACCCCAAGGTTGTTTGAGGGTTCCATGAGATAACTTATGTAAGATCCTTTGTACAGTGCCTGGCGCTAAGTAAATATTAATTGCTACTGTTACTGTAAAATGCACACTGCGTGTCACGCGTATAGAGGGACTGGCTATACCGGAAGCTCCTGAGCCCCCACCACCCACAACAGTGGCCAGCACGTAATGGATTCAGAACAAATTCTTGGTGAGTCAATAAGAAGCGGAATAGCTTACAGGAGCCGCTAGATCTTTCCATGTCAAGACAGAACATCTATTGTGTGCTAGGAGCCACAAGGGGACATTGACGGAGGATCTTGTCCTTAATGCCTGACACATAGATGTTCTTGAAAGAGGACAAGGCCTGGTAGAGGACTTGCTTAGCATAGAGGAAGCGGTGGTTTTGATCCCTGGCACAGCAAAAACAATAAAAAAAAAACAAGGAAAATCATCCAAGAGTGGAGATGCTTGCTATAACCTGTTGCAAATGAATGCAGAAAAATCCATAAACGACTCCCAAGACCGTCGGCGCCTAATCAACACGCCAGTTCGGGAAGCCGGCGCCAGGGGGCGCTGAGCCCGTCGAGCATGCTCCGGTCGAGTGACCGACGCGGAGCAGTGATGTCACGTCCGCTTGCGCGGTCGCGTCTGCGGGGGCGGAGCGGAGCCCGAGGTCAATGCACCAGTTTGTCAGTCTGCAAACCTGGGCGGCGGCGTGAGGGACCTCGAACCCGCGCCCTAGTCCAGCCGCGCGCGACGGAAGCCCGGGGTGCCGGAGGCGGCGGGCAGGTCAGCCGGAGGCGCTCGCACGGCCGGGAGGGCTGGTGGGGGCCGCCCTCGGGGCGTGGTCGAGCCAGGCTTGGGTACGGCCTGAGTCCTCGGTTCGCCCCCGCCGGCCCCGGAGCTGCGTTTTGTGCGCCTCGGTGCGCAAGGCGCGCGCCCGAGTCCGGGAGACGCCGCGGGGAGCGGTTCCGCTAGGATCTAAGCGTTGCAAGCCCGGGACCGGGATGGGGTCGGATGAGTGGGGAGGAGGAGGAGGAGGAGGCTGGGAAGTGTGGCCGGGGGGGATGCCCGCTCCTGGGTCACGGAGAAGCTATAGCCTTAGCCGGGGTCCAGAGGAGGAGCAAGCCTAGAGTGCGAGGTCTCAAGAAACCCCTGTTCTCTGGGCGTTGGTGGCGCACGCCTTTAATCCCAGCCCCCGGGAGGCAGAGGCAGGCGGATCTCTGTGAGTTCGAGGCCAGCCTGGTCTACTGAGTGAGTTCCTGGTCCTGCCAGAGCTGTGTCACACAAACTCTGCCTGGAATACCATCTCCACCCCCCACCCCCACCCCCAGAGGCATTCCTTCTCTCCAGAGTCTGGCACTTAGACCAAAAGCTGCCCTGTCCGGCTTCCCTTCCCTAGGTAACTCAGCTACTTTTATGAACTCAGCACCTTGGTTCTCTTGGTCCTGGGCACCCTCTTCCTTTCTCTTTTGTCCTCCCGGTTCCTCTCTTGCTGTCCCCTGGCTGGACCCGAGGTCAAAGCAGGACCCATGAGAAGTATCGACATCCGAGCAGGGTTGATAAGAGGCTTTTGGGGTTTTGTTGGTTTTTGAGGGGGGGGGGACAGGACAGGTTTCTATGGGTTGCCCTGGTTGTCATGCTGTCAGGGAGCTTGATCTGTAGCAGGCTGGCTGGGACTCCCAGATATCCACCTGCCTCTGCCTCCTGAGTGTTGGGATTAAGGGCGTTTTGGTATCCCTACCTGGCTGGGATGTGGTTTAACCCCTTCACAGCAGCCACACGGATTAGAGAAGAGTCAAAAGCAAGCAACTTGCTAACAGCATGTTTGTGAACATCCCTGCAATCAGAAAAAGGCATCAGCCGTGTGACATAGGAACTCTAAATCTTGATGGCCAAACCACTGAGGGCAACTCCATCTCAGTACAGCCTGCAGAGGGCAATACTATATTTTACTCTTGAGAGCTCAAGACTATGCGGAGTGACTCTGCAAGTCATTTTTTTAAAGGTTAATTTATTATTATTCATGTACCATGTTGCTGCATTGCCTGGGAAGGCCAGAAGAGGGTGTTGAATCCTCTAAAGCTGGAGTACAGACCCTGTGGATACTGGAAACCCAGCCTGGCATCCCTACCAGAGCAGCAAGTGCCCTTAAAAAAAGGAAACTATACTGTGTGTCTTTTTTTTTTTTTTTTTTTTTTTTGGTTTTTCGAGACAGGGTTTCTCTGTGGCTTTGGAGGCTGTCCTGGAACTAACTCTTGTAGACCAGGCTGGCCTCGAACTCAAAGAGATCCGCCTGCCTCTGCCTCCCGAGTGCTGGGATTAAAGGCGTTCGCCACCAACGCCCGGCTCTGTGTGTCATTTTAACTTTTTTTTTTTGGTCATTAAGGAAATATGCATTGCTGCGTGACCATTAACCACCATTGTTGTCTAACCAGGGTTACGTATGGTACTGTAGTAAGTCTTTAAAAGTCAAATAGGCTGGATTCTGGTGGTGACATTCTAGATGATAGTCTCTGTCCTTCCTAGAGAGAGGCAGGAGCATCAGTTCAAGGCTAGCCTTAGCTCTGTAACAAGCCTTTCTCAATAAGTAAGTAAAATAACTGAATAGGCCAAACTCCCATTAAAAACACAATCCTACTACTACTACTAAGTCCCCTTGACTCTTTGCAGGTACCCCATGTTTGAAGATGCCAGCCACAGCATATAAAAGAGTAGTTTATAGGAGCCCCTCAGAGCACCACTACCTGAAAGTCTGCTTGTAAGTTTAATCTTGTGAGTTCTGTTTTGTATTACTACTACTACTTTTTTTTTTAATTACGAGTCTGAAAAGCATGGAGTTTAATACGATATTTTCTCTTTCTAATTTTTCCCCCCAGGGAGTTTCAAGAACACGGAATTGGACTGAATACAGCCCAATTCAAACAGCTGCTTGTTTCGGCCCTGAAGGACCTGTTTGGGGAGGTATGAATCACTTGGAGGGTTAGCATTCTTTAGGTTTTCATAAGAAATTCTAGAAAAGGGACCAAGGGTATAGCTCAGTGGTGAAAGGGTGAAATGGTGGGCTACCTCGTGGCCTACCTTGGGCCGGTCATACCCGTCTTGGGCACACATCGTAATTCTGGCATCTGTGGTTCTACCACTGGTAGGTGAAAGTAGAATAAGAGTTCAAGGTAAACCTCCTCTACATGGCCGTTGGAAGTCAGCCTGTCTGCCTGGTACCTTTTTGTTTGAGACAAGTTCTCTGGGTATCCCTGGCTGGCCTGCAGTTTGCTCTGTAGGACAGGCTGAATTCACAGAGCCACCTACTTCTGCCTCCCAAGCACTGGGGTTTTTTTTGTTTGTTTGTTTTTTTGTTTTTTTTGTTTTTACGAGACAGGGTTTCTCTGTATTGTTTTGGAGGCTGTCGGTCCAGCCCAGCCTCGAACTCACAGAGGTCCGCCTGCCTCTGCCTCCCGAGTGCTGGGATTAAAGGCGTGCGCCACCACCGCCCGGCTTCCAAGCACTGGGTTTAAAAGCAAGCAACACCACTCCTGGCCTAGAAGAGCACTTTGTAAGAAACACAGAAATCTCATTTTTTTAAAAAGATGTACCGGCATCTGCAAAAGCCAGCTTTCAGAAGTAATGAGTTCTGGTAGGTTATTCCAGTGTGCCCTGTATTGACAAGGAACCTTTTAGACCACTGTTCTTGCACAATGCTATCAAGTTACAGTCTGTATTGGTAACATCCCTGCCCGTCTTTGTAAAGATAGAGGGTTTATATGGGAGCTGTGACACTATTGAGTGAGAACGTCTCTGTATTAAACAGTGTGAGGGATGGTGAGATGCTCTGAGTTCAGTCCCTGGAACCCGCATGGTGAAGGAGAGAACAAACTCTTGAGACTTTCCTGTCACCTCCACCAGAAGGACGAGGAGGAGAGATTAGTTATAGATTGGGAAAAATTTAAAAACTACATGTCTGACAAAGAAGTATTATTAGACTATTACAAATCATCCCCAAAAAAAGGCTGGGCAGCAGTGTTGCACACCTTAAATCCTAGCACTCAAGAGGCAAAGGCAGGCAATTCTTGGGGTTCCAGGCCAGCCTGGCCAGCACATGGAGTTCCAGGACACCTAGGGCTAACACACAAAACCCTGTCTCAAAAAACCTATTCTTGGGCCGGAGAGTTCCCAACAGGTAAGAACACTTGCCCCTGCGTCGGACCCGGGGTTCAGTTCCCAATACTCACAGAGTGGTGCACAGCCCTCTGTAACTCTAGTTCTACAGAGTCTGATCTCCCCTGGCACCTCAGGCACCAGGCATGCACAGGGCGCAAAACACTGACATACATAAAAGAAATCTTAAAGAAAAAAACGTAATGTTGCACCGCATGTATGCGGTAGTCTTATAATAACCAGAAGCTGAAAACATCACCGTGTCCTTTATTGGGTGATTGATTGTTCGGTCATCATATATTCAAATCATGGACTACTGGTCATCAGAGACGAGGACAATGGCTAGACAGACCTAGAAAACTAAGTTCTTGCTACAGCATAACCTGAAGAAGTCACCAGTGTGGAAAATTCCATAGAAGTACACACATAAATATTAGGTGCACACACATGGCGTCAAATCTAAGTAAATTCTGAGTTGTGTTTATACCAGTTGCCTGGCTTTGATCATGTACCGTGGTTATATAAGACGATGTTTTGGGGGAGCCTGAAGGAAGAGTACATGAACTTGCCTGTAGATTGCAACAAATTAAAAAACAAAACCTGCAATTTCTATACACCATTTTAAAAAAATGTAGTTTCAGGAGCTAGAGCTGTAACACCTGGTCCTGTCTCTTGGGCTATCTGTCCTGTTAAATAGTGACAGGAAGGGAGATTATGAAGAGCAAAGTGTGAGGTCTTGTATAAGAGCCAGCCCAGTTAGACCGAGCCTAATCTTGTGAATGTGGGAGGAGCTGCTGCTGCTGTTTTGTTTTGAGACGGGGTTTCTCTGTGTGTAGCTCTGGCTGTCCCAGAACTCACTTTGTAGTCCAGGCTGGTCTTGAACGCAGAGATCCGCCTGCCACTGCCTCTCAAGTGCTGGGATTAAAGGTGTGTGCCACCAACACCCAGTGGGAAGGAGCTTTTTTAAAAACTGTGGAGGCAGGGTGTATACAGATATGTATATGCGTGCGTGCGCGTGCGCACGCGCGCACACGCACACATGTTCGTTTGTTCTTTCACCACGTGGGTTCTGGGGATTAACTATGGGGATCAAACTCAGGTCATCAGGGTTTGTGTCGTCTCACCAGCTGGAGAAGGAACTCTTTAAACACAGATTGAAAGGTGAGGAGGGAGGTACCATGGAGACTGATGGGAGTCTTTCAAACTGCAAGAGCTCTTAGCAGGCACGTGAGAGCACTGGCTTTCGTCAGGGTTGGAGAGCAATGACAGGAGTCTGTATTGTCCCTTACATAGGTGGGTGCTGCTTTACCTGTGGACATCCTAACCTATGAAGAGAAGACTTTGTCAGCCATCTTGAGAGTGTGCAGCAGGTATGACAGTGCTCTAGAATCACCGGGCAGGGTGGGAGCGGCCAGTGAAGATGCTTCCGGGATGAGAGTGCGTGGCTGGGATCTCTGAGCACCTCTGAGGAATTACACTGGGATTACTGGGAACAGTCCTACCTGGGATTATACCCGAGATGAGAGAAAAAACCTTGTGGTTTGATCACAGCCAGTTTCCTGGTGGAAGGTTGTTGTTTTAAAGTCAGAAATGTATGCATTTTAGATTCTTGGGCTCCATTTGTTCTTTCTGGGATACTCTGTTTTGTTTAAATGAGGGTTCTGTGGTTTGTTTTCTACACAGCCACAAGCAAAAGTACTAGGGAGCTGTTAGCAGTAGAAACGTTCATTTATGCTCTTGATCTTTATGCAGTGGTCTGGCTAAACTGTGGAGCTCTTTGACCTTGTTTGGAGCCTATAAAAACAAGAAGTGTGCCTTCAGAGTGATTCAGGTAAAAGTTTTTCCTTCATAATTTCAAGGAGTGACTGAGCACTGTGGTGATGTGATCTGGGTGTGTGTCTCAGTTTAGCCTTGAGTAAAGCAAGCAGAGTTAACATCTAGCAAGGGTAAACCCAGAATCCCACTGCTCCCGAAACGGAGGCAAAGTGGTTAGATTTTAGGTCACAAAGGAGATGTTTGGAAGTCAAACTTGGAGTTTGTGGTAAAGGCTTCTCACTGAATGCTCGGTGCAGTATTGCCTTGGCCGGCTGTTCCCAATGCTCCCTCCGGATGTGCCCCAAGTGCTCCCTCCAGGACGTGCTTTAAAATGTGAGCTGCATTGTTCGTCCTGTAAAACTTGCCTGTTTGGCCGGGTGTTGGTGGCACACGCCTTTAATCCCAGCACTCGGGAGGCAGAGGCCGGCGGATCTCTGTGAGTTCGAGGCCAGCCTGGTCTACAAAGTGAGTTCCAGGACAGCCTCCAAAAAGCTACAGAGAAACCCTGTCTCGAAAAAACAAAAAAAAAAAACTTGCCTGTTTCTTGTGTTGCCTGTTGTTTCCATGCAGCTTGGGTTAACCTTTTCTTCTTTTGTAGGTGTCTCCCTTTCTCCTGGCTTTATCTGGTAATAGCAGGGAACAAGTGTTGGATTGAATACTCCCACAGTCCCAGAAACTCTGCGCTCTCAACAGTGTATTTTGATGTCTGCATAGACTGAAAAAGAAGCAGACTAAAGCCCCTGTTGATGACACTTGGAGATACTGAAGATGCTCTCTGTGGTTTCTGGCCATCATCTCTGGTGGAGTGGGCTTCAGCGGGGACTGTGGCTCAGTTGCCGGGTACCAACAGGGCAGTGCCTTCAGCGTGCGCACACACGGGTTGGAGACCGTGCCGAGCTCAGCAGAGCCTTCACACAGCAGGACGTGGCTACTTTCTCAGAGCTAACAGGAGACACCAATCCTTTGCACATAAGTGAAGATTATGCCAAGCACACCAAGTTTGGAAAGACAGTTGTGCATGGAGTTTTGATAAGCGGACTTATTTCTGCTCTCCTGGGCACTAAAATGCCAGGGCCAGGCTGCGTGTTTCTCTCCCAGGAAATCAGGTTCCCCGCCCCCCTGTACCCTGGAGAAGTGGTTCTAGCATCGGCAGAGGTGAAAAGGCTGAAGCAGTCTGTTGCTGTTGTCCAAGTGTCCTGCCGTGTGACAGAGAGTAAGAAGACAGTTATGGAAGGCTGGGTTAAAGTTACGGTCCCGGACACTCCTGATGCTGAAACACAACTTTAAAGTTGTGCGTTCAAACTCCTGTGTTCTTGTTACCACGACATCTGGGGAAGTGGGCTGCTGTTCTCATGAAGGAATGTCCGGTGTACCTGGAAGCCACAGGATGGGGAGCAAGCAGACAGTTTGCCCCAGTGTCTGCTTTCCCGATTGGCTTTATGCTTTCCCCGACTTAAGTGTGTACACGTTTTCATCATCTGCGGAGGTTGGGTTGTTTTTCAATTATAAACAATTGAGAGCGGCAGGAGGATCGGCTCATCGGTTAAGATCACTGACTGCTCTTCCAGAGGATCTGGGTTTAATTCCTAACACCCAGGGGTCCGACAGTGTCTTCTGGCCTCGGCAGAGACTACGTGTACATAGTGCACGTACACACATGCAGGCAAAACAGTCACCCAGATAGAACAATAATAAAATAAAGTGTTAAATATTTTTTTAAAAATGAGAAAGCTGTCTGCATGTTTTACTTTGAGAATTTCAAGCACAATTATATTTGAATTTGATAACACCTGCCCATACCTGTGTTGAGGAAGTTTCTTCCTGGATCTACAGCTCTATAAACTTAGTTACTAGCTGTGGTAATGGAAGTAGGGTCATCTTTGGACATCTCTTTACCATTAGATATTCTTAGACCTGTTCCCAGTAATTTCTGGATTAGGGTTATAATTCCTTACTATTTACCCCAAGACGTGTCTTGTGCTGGATGTGGAGGCATATGCCTTTACTCCTTACTTGGGAGGCCGAGGGAGGTGGAGCTCAAGGCCAGCCTGGTGTGCATAGCAAGTTCCAGGACAACCCGGGCTACATAAAGAGACCTGTCTCAAAACAAAAAATGCTAGCAACTTCATTCAGCCTTCTCCGTGACTTTGAGGTTTTTGCTGTTGTGGGAGAGGGATTTACATGCAGCTTTGATCAGTTAAGTAAATTCCTAATGCTATACAGCATTGTTGGAAATGATAGAAACATAGAATTAAGCAGAGGGCCAATAGCCAATATTATCCATTATCCTCCCACCCTGGCCTTCCATGAGTGAGGTTAGGTAGTATTTTGGAGGCTGTCCTGGAACTCGCTCTTGTAGACCAGGCTGGTCTTGAACTCACAGAGATCCGTCTGCCTCTGCCTCCCCGGTGCTGGGATTAAAGGTGTGTGCCACTAACAAGCTATGGTGTTGTTTTAAGTAACCAGATTTGTTACTTGTGTGTGTGTGTGTGTACGTCTGTGTGTATACTCATACTCATGGCTTGTTCGTGCATGTGGAGGTCATAGGTCAGCCAGGTGTCATCTCTCTGATAAGAGTCACTTTTTCTTTCTCCCTCACTGGCCTGAAACCAGCAATTAGATGAAGCTGGCTGCCTGATGAGCTCAAGGCATCCACAAGTCTCCACTTCCCCAAGCCTGGGGTTATATATAAGCACACGTTTTTGTTTTGTGCCTGCTTTATTTGTTTACACATGGATTCTGGGGTTGAACTCGGGTCCTCAGAGTTACTCAGCCTGGCACTTTGTCAGCAGAACCATCTCTGTTCCAATAACCAGACAGGAACAGTTGAAGAGATTACCACAAGAGTTAGTGTGGTCACTAGAGGGTGGTCGCGTGTCCTAAGTGAGTTACAGACCTGTTCTGCTTCCTCCAGTGTTCGAAGTGAGAAGAAAACACCAGTGCAGGGTTAGGAGCAAGGGTGCTACCTCAACTGGGCAGTGGTGGCGCACGCCTTTAATCCCAGAACTCAGGAGGCAGAGGCCGGCGGATCTCTGTGAGTTCCGCCTGGTCTACAGAGCAAGTTCCAGGACAGCCTCCAAAACAATAGGGAAACCCTGTCTCCAAAAAACAACAACAACAAAAAAGGTACTACCGCAACTCAGAATGGGCAGCATCGCAGACTGGGCTCACTAAGGATGAGTTAGATCTCAGCAAGTCCCTAGACTTGATGAAACGTGTTAAGTACCAGAAGAAAACAGAGAACTCAGACAACCAATGCACACTCCTGCACAACCTACCGCCTGGGAGTCATCAGCAGTCCTAAGTGTGGATCCATAAATGGAGCATGATGTGATTTTTTTTTTGTTTTTTTACGTTTCTGATAAACTAATACTCTGCATTTACTCTAATTCTTGAAAGAGCTTTATAAAGTTAATGGCCCCATTTTATTGGCACAGAAGCAGACCAATGCTATATAGCTTGTCCAGGGTCATACAGCTAATAGGCAGTAGAGCTAGGATTCGAGCTTGAATTTCCGCTTTCCGCTATCACTGTGGATCTCCAGGCTTTTCATTCCTGTCAATTTCAGCAGCGCTTGTTAAGATGTAATTCCTACATCCATTCAGCCCGATATCTGTGCTATAGTTGCAGCATTTCCCTATTCTGTACCTTACGGTTTCTACCCACTACCCGTCTCTCACCGCCACCCCGATAATAGTCACGCCACGTCGTCCGGCTTTGAGCTCAACATCTTCCCACGTCCTGGGAAACAAATGTGTAGCACTTACTTGCCCGCCCTCCCTTTTCCCAAGTGGCATTCAGAGATTGTGTTCAGAGGACGAGAGCTCTAAGGATCAGCTGGATGAGAGGTAAGTTAGAGACAGGCACAGTGGCTGATAGCCCATTCTAGCAATTCAGACGCCGAGGCGTGTAAGCCGTGTGGGGGATGGAGAGAGATGTCCCCTGGGCTCATGGATAGTTTGTGTTTAGAGCATTCTCACGTTCTTAACAGTTTGGGGCGGCCATGGGCTCTGGTCTCTGTTAAAAGAGTGGAGTCCCGCAGTCTGTGAGTGGAGGCTCAGCCAAGATTGCCAAGCTGCTCACACCCTGTTGAAGCAGCCACGAGGAGAAGTGATCACCCACTTTCTCACGTCCCCAGGAGATGCCAGAAAGAAATGACCATCTTATGGTGAAAGGGGCTGATAATTGAGACTACACCTTGATTACACCAGGTCACATACGGAAGTGAGTGCAAAAGTAATGGCTGAAATAGGCCAATTTGTCTAGCACTCTGCATATCAGGGGCATTGTAAGACTGCAGTTCGCCGGGCGTTGGTGGTGCACGCCTTTAATCCCAGCACTCGGGAGGCAGAGGCAGGCGGATCTCTGTGAGTTCGAGGCCAGCCTGGTCTACAGAGCGAGTGCCAGGACAGCCTCCAAAACTACACAGAGAAACCCTGTCTCGAAAAACCAAAAAAAAAAAAAAAAAGATTGCAGTTCATGGGATATTTGGTTGACACAGAAAGAATACCCATCTTAAGCACTTTTATCCTAATGTGCTGGAAAATTGCTCAACAGACTTGTTAAAACGTTTCCATGTTGCTGAAATGCCACTCTCCCCCTGCCACCCCCCCCCGCAGCAGCAAATCTTAGATTAATGGGTAGAGCCTCACCATGGCCACCATTTACCTTGTGGGCTTGATTTGTGTGTTCTAGAAAAAGAATTGTCTTAAGTGCATACCAGTACCTCTGAGACAACCATGGGTTTTCATTTTGGTCCAAACTGTTAATCATTTTTCTTCTGTGTTCCTGGAGTGTAATTCACAGACCCTGAGAAAATTGGGGTTAAGTCACGTCTATTAAGGGTTTATATTAAAACCAAGGGTTGACGGTCGCTCTGAGCAGCTGTGCTCTGTGCTGCCTCACGTGCTGGCATAGCTGTTTGACTAGCTCCAGGCCGGCAGAATTGGGGTGCCACCCAGTTCTTGCCCCGCGTCTCACGGCTGGCTGCATGCGGTGCCTCCTCAGGGTCCCAGGTATTTTGTTCTCTACTCTCTGCTTTCATTTGGGTTGCAAGGGCCACAGAGAAATTCAGAGTTGGAGCAGAATGATCAGCTGGAAGAAAACCCAAGTAATGTGCACACCAGTCAAATAAGATTAAAGATTCCGTAAGCTTTATTCCTAAAGTGGCTCTTAACTGTAAATTGTTTTGACATTATGCCCTGGACAGATTTTCCCAGTGCCATCATAGAAAATGTCAACATATGAATGTCACTGAGTTGAATTTTGTTTAGTGTCCAGATGGTGAGTATTTAAAGAAATGAAGTAATTTGGAGTTGTAGACCACTCTGCTTAACTCTGCTTCAGCGATCTGACTTGTATACCAGTTGTCAGGCCTAGAAATTTCCTCACTAAAATCCATCGTGTTCAATCAATCTCGACAGACCTCAGGTTGTTAGATAAACAGTCCATGAGCTGTCTAAACATTTGGCAACATAGCACAATATAAAAATCCTCCTGTCTTCTGTTAGCCTACAAGTAGTCGTATGTATGCAAAGAGCAAAACCGTGACATTTTCTCATTCCTTATCGGTTTATTTAGCCCAAGACCAGAAAAGCAGGTCTGATTTGATTTAGATCAACTCTGGCCTGGGAAGAGCTTCCCCAGATTTAATCTGTGTCATTTCAAATGCCAGACAGAGCCAGGCACAGAAGCCTGCATCTGTAGTTAGCCACACAGATTTAGCTAGCCTCTTAGGTGCAGGAAAGAGGGCCACTGGATCCGCAGGAGGTCAAGATCAAGACCGTAATTTAAAAAGCAGCAAAAGCCAGATGACTATTGAGGTTGTTGTGGGGTTTGGAGCCTGGTCTGTGTGTCCCAGGATACTTGGGGGTGGGTTGCTGACAAGGAAAAATGAGCTTAGCAGAAGTGTGTGTCCTGTGGGGCTTCCGGAAAGAATCACAGGGGAAGGATAAGGAAGCCCTGAGCTTGTCCCTGGCTCCCATCAAATATTTCTCACTTTCAGTTTCCCTTTCCTGGTGAAGAAGACAGGCCAAGTCACATTTCATGACATGTGCAGCCTGGGTCTTCACTTCAAACTCCTTTTCAGCTCCCTCCCTTCCAGAGAGAAAAGCATTCAAATCCCCGTTCTCAAGAAAGGCTGTGCTCACATCCGCGTAACTAACAGCCTGCAGTTTGTCCTTAGCTTGTCGTTCAGGTCCGACCAACATTAGCGCTGGTCAGCGCACTCGGTAGTCCGTCCTGCCAAGGCTGTCCCAATCTCCATCCCATAGCTGGGGGAGCAGAAACAGAGTGAAGCCAGGCTGCCGGGCACCTCTTGAGCTGGTGTAAATGTAGGCAGGGCAGGGTGTGGACCTGTCACCGTAACCATCACTCTAGTTTCTTCCTCAGATGGTGAAGGCAGGTTTTTTTTTTTGTTTGTGTTCCCTCCCCTCCCCCCACAGGATTTCTCTGTGTGGCTTTGGAGGCTGTCCTGGAACTCACTCTGTAGACCAGGCTGTCCTGGAACTCACTATGTAGACCAGGCTGGCCTGGAACTCACAGAGATCCGCCCGCCTCTGCCTCCCGAGTGCTGGGACTAAAGGTGTGCGCCACCATCGAGGGGCTAGTTTGTATAATCTTACGTTGGGGATTAGGTGCTTATCTTTACATGGTCTACCTTTTGGAAAACCCCTCATTACTTTCTTAGAGGCAGAATTACAGTCTTAGGGTGAGATATTTTCAAACCCTTCATATATGTTATTAAATCCTAGCACCACTACTCAGCTTATTACATGGTAGGTACTCAAGTAAATAATTGCTGAGTGAATTAACGCCTTCCTTAAGAATTAATTCAGTATACACCAGTATGTGTGACCTTGTCTTGGTCAGTCCTCACCATGACAGGAGTAATAATGTGGGATTTGTTGTTTCTGTTTCTCTGACAATGAAACACTCCATTACCTTTAAACAAAGAAATGGAGGAAAGGAGTTAGGTGACACGTGGTTCGGCCTCAATAGACGGCTGCTTGAAAGCACACTGAGATAAAAAAGGAGATGTAGGAAGAGATCTCACTTATTTAAGAGTTACATTCCCCATATTAAGAGTTTACATTCCCCCCCTTCCCCCCATCTCCCCCTACTGAGCCTAAAGGCATTCAGCCATTGTCACTAGGCTACTTAGGGTCAGCCAGCAATCTCTCTGAGCTTAATCACTGAGTGCAATTTGACCTTTGCTCTGATTTCAAATTTAGTGGTAGTGGACTCACAAGGAGCTTTGTTTCTATGGATGAAATGATAGGAACTTAGTGGAAACGAGAGTTAGAAATCCCTTCCCTGTGAATTGTCAGGCTATAATGCATCTTGTTTGAGATTTTTGATGTGTGCAAATATAGTAAGTACTGTTCATTCCTGTACCCTTTAGCTCAGTTTTACAGATGGAAAAGTGAGGTCTACGGGTGTGAGGGATTGATTCAAGGTCACACAGCTTAAGCTGCAGAACCTGAAGGTCCCAGTCATCTGATCTAGGTTTAATTCCATGTTTATCCTGGAAAATCGTCATCTTGGGTTAAGGGGAGCAGGGTAGATTCGATGCTGAGAAGTTGATCTTCAAGTTAGACGGCTCTAAGTTTGAGGTTCCCGGAGCCAGAGAACCAAGGACTCTCAGAGTCTAAGGGATCTGAATGCTCTTGGGGTTTGAAGACCCTTGGGCTAGGAGCCAAGCACAGAAGCAGGGAAATTTTTGTATCCGTTATTATTATTTTTCCATCCCAGTTCTTAGAGCTTGTTGCTTGAGGCTTGTGGAGTCAAACACTGTGGGATCCATTTATGAGGGTGCATGACAGCACCTAGGCTCTCCTGAGAATCCATGTTCAAAACCTGAATCACAATTTGGTTTAGAAAGTCGGGTCTAAGCCGGGCGTTGGTGGCACATGCCTTTGGTCCCAGCACTTGGGAGGCAGAGGCAGGCGGATCTCTGTGAGTTCGAGGACAGCCTGATCCACAGAGCGAGTGCCAGGACAGGCTCCAAAGCTATGGAGAGGAAACCCTGTCCCCAAAAACAAAAACAACAACCAAAAAAGGAAGATGGGGAGCAGGAAGAAAGAAAGTCTGGCCTACACGCCATTCCCTAAGCCTTAAGGTCCGTGGGCAGGGAAGGTGTGACGGGGAGCCTTAGCTCTCCAGTCTGCCAATCTGAGATTTTGAAGGTTGCATCCGCAAAGCTCAGCTCTGCAGGCTTCCAGGCCTCTAGATGCAGCATCTATAGATCTCAGGATTCCTGGTGGTGATGGTTCTGAGCTCCTGGGTCCGAGGCCGGGTGGGTGCTCGCCGGTACTGGGTGTACGACGCAGCGGGGAGGAGCTGCCAAGACTGCGTGCGTGTGCGAGCGACACAACGCCTCTTGACCCGCAGCGCTGGCTGGCTGGCTGGCTGGGCCTTGAAGATGGTCAAGAGCCCGCAGTCACGGTCGGCGCTAGGACCCAGCGGGGTCGGGCAAATGGGCGTTGACAGCCAGGGAGCGGAGCCGACCGGCGTTAGGACCCTGCGGGCGGCGCGTGGGGCGGAGGCGCGTTGACAGCAGCGGCGGCGGCGGCGGCGGCGGGCGGGCGAGCGGCGGGACGCGGCGTCTCCGGTTCTTGGCGGCCGCGGCGGCGGCGTTGGCCCGGGATGGCTTTCATGGAGAAGCCCCCGGCCGGCAAGGTGCTGCTGGACGACACGGTGCCGCTGACAGCGGCCGTCGAGGCGAGCCAGAGCCTGCAGTCGCACACGGTGCGCGGCCGGGCCGGGGCGGGAGGGCGGGAGGGCGGGAGGCCGGGAGGCCGGGGCCGAGGACCGGAGCCGGCGGGGGCACCTGGGCCGAGGGCGGGCACCGGAGCCGGCGGGAGCACCAGGGCCGGGCGGGGGCGCCGGAGCCGGGCAGGTGTGCGACTCCGCGGCTCGGGCGAGCGGCGCGCGTTTGCATCTGAGCCCCCCACCCCCACCCCCGGAGCGGTTTAGAGGAGCCCCGGGTACCCGTAGTAAACACGGGCGAGCTCGTCTCGCCTACACACCGTCTTTTATGGGGCTTTAAAGCCGCGCTTGCTTCCATCCGGCCGCGCAATTCTCCTTTTGAAAGGCGCCCTGTGCGTTGTAATTTACAAGCGGCAAATCCGGGGACCAGTGAAAACCGGGATGCTACTAGCCTCTGGGACTTCACCGAGGAGACGATGAATGGGCCGGGGTCGAGGGGGGGCGGTGGGATCCCTGAGGTTGTAATGGTTTGTCAGGGCCACATCAGATTCCAGCTCACCGGCCTGCTCAACACAGCAGGGTTTGGGGCTTCATCACCTGCAGGCTAAAGCCCCATAATGCTCGTGTGTGTGTGTGTGTGTGTGTCTGTGTGTGTGTGTGTGTGTGTGTGTGTGTGTGTGTCCGTCCGTCCGTCCGTCCGTCCGTCCGTCTGAAGTTCTTATGCTGTCCTAAGAGATCTTTCATTCTGTGGTATTATTAAAGCGGGACTTTTTTGAACCCTAAGTTTCCTCTTGTTTTGTAGTTCCTGCATTGTTCAGACATACATCCTCAAGAGAAATGACTGTCCTTTCAAAAAACTCACTTGGTCTCCCTATGCTAACATCTTAAATCCCATCGTTGAAACTTGTGAAAAGCCACCAAAGTACCCTTGAGTTTGTTAAACTTGTAATTTGTTGCAAAGCGAGTATTTAAAGGGCCCGAGTTTAGGGCCTGAAGTAATCATTCCTTCCAATTGTATTTTTGACCGGATTGCTGGCAAGTTGTGTTATAGCCCTGCTAGAGCGAGTGTTGAGTCTTTTAGGTCTATGTGTTACTAAAGAGATGGGTACTTACGCGTGCTCAAAGACCTCTTCCTCTAGAGGGCCTTCCTTCCTTCATTACCACAGGCCACATGGACAGCACTGTCTTCTTGTCATTTCCTCTCTGCCTCGCTGCTGCGACGGGGGACAGTTCTCACTCACTTTTGGGTCTCAGTCTGGTAGCCTTTCATAGGTGTGTGCCAGATGGGTAAGTCAATGAGTCGAAACTGCATTGTGCCCCTTTACCTGTGTGTGTAAAGCGAGATTGTGAAAATCAGAACACGCTTAACGGGTGGGGGGAGATGGGATGGGATTCCGTCGTTATGCAGAGCTTTTCATTAAGACAAACACAAAACAATACTTTTAGGGCAAAAAAAATTAGCAGTTTTTATAATGATGACTGCACAGGAAAGGCAGTGACTCACAGGAGACGGAGACAGACAGAAGTGGGATTAAAAACCGTAACATCGTTGTCTTGCGTAACTTTTGACTGTTCTGGGCTCCTGTCATTTTAGCTGGGAAGTTGTGAGACTGGAAAAGATTGCCTCAGCCCTTTGAGGAGAAAGCATTGCTGATGCAAACTTCTGGGGCTACTAATGATTGATGAGTGAGTCCCTTGGAGACAGGAACGGCTGGAAAGACGTAGTTACTGAGTGTGGTGTGTGGGAGACTCAAGGCAGCTTACAGTTTGTTGGCCAAAGGGAGATGGTGTCTCAAAAGTCAAAGATGCACCCTTCCAAATACTGCTGTCCAAGAAGCGCTCCTTGGCTGTGGACAGAAACACATGAAGGGGGTATATAGTAGCAGCTGCCCTTTGAAGAGTGAAGCTGGCTATATGTGTGGAAACATACTTGTTTGGGCAAGTCACTGAACCCCCACCCCTTTTGTTATTGTTGTTTTGAGATGGGATCTTACTGACCGAGCTGGAGCTGGATATGTAGACCTGACTGTCCCGTGCGCTAAGAGATCCCATCCAGGGTGTATTCCCAGCTCACTCAGATTTTTATCTCTGATGAAGCGGAAGCCAGCCTGGAACCTCTGGTCTTCCTGCGTCTACCTTCTGAGTGCTGAGATGATAGACACCCACCAGCGTGAACCCTGAGTGGAAGAAGAAGGACACCACTGCTCCTAGGTGTGTTGGAGGAGGTTTGTTGTGGATAAAAGGGAGAGCGTAGCCAGAGACAGGGCCATCTGGGAAAGTCCAGAGTGGACATGACCAGACCGAGCTGGGCCGGGCTGGGGTGGTGTAGGGATAGAGAGGGAGCAGAGGGACCAGGTGCAGCAGCCAGGAGGCCCAGAGGCGCAAAGACACCAGGCAACCAAATGGTTGGATTGTGTAGGGAAGGGTAGCCCAGCCCCCTGAGTTGGAGAGATCAGGGTAGCCAGCCAGGAGGACCCTGAGCAGGTAGTAACTTGAGGGATTCGAGGAGGCACCTGGTGGCCAGACCTGGTTTGATATGTTAAAATAGGTGCCAGTTTTGTCCCTGGTTTGAATCCTAACATCCAGTAGGTCCCTCTTTTGTTTTAGCTTTGTCATGTGTGAATGGGAAAATCCGTGCCTGTTCTAGACTGCTCGTTACAAGGATGGAAAAACCATCTTTTTTGTTGTTGTTTTTGTTTTTTTTCGAGACAGGATTTCTCTGTGGCTTTGGAAGCTGTCCTGGAACTCACTCTTGTAGACCAGGCTGGTCTCGAACTCATAGAGATCCGCCTGCCTCTGCCTCCCTAGTGCTGGGATTAATGGTTCTCTTTTGTATATTGTTTCTTTTTTTTTTTTTTAATGGAGCACAATGACTGTAGCATCAAGAAGTCGATCAGAAGGGCTGGAGAGATGGCTCAGCAATTGAGAGCTCGTGATCTTTCAGAGGACCAGGGTTAGGGTTCCTAGCACTCACATGGCGGCTCACAGCAGTTTGTGACTCCAGTTCTAGTCCAATCCAGTTCTGGCCTCCAGGGGGACCAGGCAGGCAAGTGGTGAATATATACATGCAGGTGAAACAGCAATGCACATTAAATAAACACACACACACACAGACACACACACACACACAGACAGACACACACAGACACAGACACACACACAGACACAGACACACAGAACGCATGTACGCACACACACACACACACACACACACACACACACACACACACACACACACACACACAGCCCAGACTTCAAGGAATTGAAGTTTTCATCAAATCAGATGGGCTACTATTCAGGGGCAGGATGCTTTGAAAAGAAAAGTCTTCTAAACAAGGGATTAAGGTAAAGGACCAGCAGCAGGTGAATTGTAAACAAGATTAGGAGAAATAAGAGAAGACAAGGGAAATGTAAATTCCTTGCTGCATGAAGGGGAAAACAAAGTCTGTAGACAAAAAAGTACAGGTTTCATGGACCTGGAACCCAGGGGCTGTTCCTTGCTTGGTAGGGAGGCAGTGTGACCTCGTCACACTTCAGCAGTCTCCTGTTGAATATTCTTGGGGGGGGTCGTCCTCTGGCTCAGGGCCCACTTACTTTGCCTCTTGTTTTGGAAGAAAGACTGTTGTGCATATTTGTAGCATAAACATCATTTTTAATGGAGTAGTGAACCAGACAGTTCTGGCTTTCATAGAATTTTTGTTGTATTGGATCTGAGGTCCTTTCATTTTCCAAGGCTTGCACAAGTTACCTGCCACAACATATATGGGTTTTGAGTTTCTCTTTTTGGTTTGTTGAGCTTAGCTTCTTCTGTTTTATTTCGTTTTTTGTTTTTGAGACGGGGTTTCTTTGTGTAGCCCTGGATGTCCTAGAACTAGCTAAGCTCAACAATCCTGAAGCAATTTTTGATGCTACAGCAGTGAGTACTCACACCCGCCTGCTTCAAGCGTTAGCGCAGCTGTGACTACTCATTATACCCGCTGCTTTTAACAGTTGGCCGCAGTATAAGGGTGACGGATAAAGCATGCCATTTCTGCTCCTCCTTCTGGAGACCTGACTTTTCAGAAGGACAGAGGTTTCCGCCGCTGTCTGACACTCCTCTGCCACGCTTTTGTCTTGAAAACCTGAATTCAATTTTGAAGACTTCAGGTTCGTGTTTAAATGACAGTGCTTTAAGAAGAGGAAGAGAAACTGTGCTGCACTTCTGTTACCTGAGAACATAATGGTGTACATATATTAAATATATTCATACACCTGTCCGGATCTTGTTTACTAGCTGGAATTCTTTTACTTAACGTGTGGATATTTTGCATGGTGACACTTAATCAAGACAGTAACAGGAGTAGAAGGTTGTCCATTTAAGACAAGTTTGAGATCCACTAAAATCAGTTGTTGTATGTCCTTCTGCAAGCTTTCTATTTTCTTTGAGATCATTAGACGCCTTAGCTCTTGAAGTACAGCTTTAATGCTATAGGGATTTTGCCATTTGGCTAACACTGGCATGCTTCGTGCGTCCACCATTGCGCTGGAATTATTGATTCCATTCATATTAATTTTTGTTACAACTCTAACTGATGGAGGAGCTTCTAAGTGTTTAGATCCACACTCTCCTTTCAGGATATGTACTCTGTTCTCATAGTTTGTCCTTGGTGGCCCAGTAACCATACCTGCCCACATTGTAACTGTCAAGTCTCCATCATCTTCAAGGCCCCAGCTAACGGAAACATCACCTGCTCCTTTCTGTCCTTCAAGCCCTTCCAACAAGCGGAAGTTCCGAGGAACTCTGACTCCTGTGGAGATCCCCATCTTCTCCTGCTCCCGAGCTTAGTTTCTTAATTAGTGATCTTTTGAAAAAATAATTTTAAGATGGGTGGTGGCACACACCTTTTATCCCAGCTCTCTGGAGTCAGAGGCAAGAGGATCTCTGTGAGTTCGAGGTCTCCTTTCAGAGCTATTTGGAGGTTTCTTCAGAAGCCCGTGTCACGTCACACTGAACACTTGTGCAACAATTCCGGTGAGGGTATTTGCATGAACAAGTGCTGACTGTGGATTAGTGATTCAAGTGCAGTAAGGCCACCAGGGAGTCTCCTCAGCCGTCTGCCCATTTGTGTGTTCTCAGTCATCCCGCAAAACTTGATAAACGCAGTCAGAAAACCCTCCCTTGGCAGTGCGAGAGACTGGTAACCCAGTTCCCTTAGAGATTCTAATGTTTTTATTGGAAAACATTCTTTTCATACCTGATTTAGGGATCAGTGATACTCAGTCCTCATCGCTCACCTCTTTTGATCATTACCCCACTAGAAAAGTCTTGTAATAGAGAAAGAGTAAGAACGTGGTGCTGTTCCTAGTGGGGAATGTGGGGTTCCAGGGCAGGGATTTGTTTCGTGTGAAAAGTGTTTGTTCTTACCTAGAAGAGCAGAAACAGCCATTTCTTCCATTGTGATCTTGAGATTGTTCAAAATACAAATAGTCAATGGAAAGTTTAAATGTGTTACTTGTAACACAGGGGACAAGCCCTTGGTGCTCCTCTGCAAGGCAAGTGTCATTTCCTTCTAAGTTTCCAGAGGCTTTTGAGGGCTTCATAGGAAACAAAGATCCTTAGATTGCAGCTTTTGGCATTCTGAGAAAAGGGAAACTGGACATGGACTGGAACTTGTGTGTGTGTGTGTCCATGCCTGTGTATTTGTATGCATCTATGTTTCTTTGTATCTGTATATATGTGTGTCTGTGTGTCTGTATGTCTATATACGTATGTGTGTATGTAATCGTATGTGAGTATCTGTATTTGTTTTTGTGAGTCTGTATGTGTGTGTCTGTCTGTGCCTGTGTATTTGTGTATGTGTGTCTGTATTTGTGTGCGCCTGGGTATATATGTGTGTATGATAAAGTTGGGTGTCTACTTATCTTTTTGTTTTATTAAGTACTTATTTTTTTGAAACAGGGTCTTACTATGGAGCTCTGATTGGTCCAGAACGCACAGAGATCCATCTGACAGTGCCTGCTGGGTGCTGGATTAGAATTGTTCCCCACCATGCTAGGTTCAACCACTTTTTAAAAAAATTATTTCTTAATTTTTGTACTGTCTGTATGTATGTGTATCTTGTATGTGCCTGGTGCCCATGGAGGCTAGCTCTGCACTCTGATCTTCAGGCAAGCTTTATTTGTTAGATCATTAACAAAATATCACCACACCTACGGTGCTGGGATTAAAGGCAAACAGTCACCAAGCTAGACACACCCCCACCACACACACACACACACACACTTTTTTTTTTTTTGGTTTTATGAGA